GGCGGGAGCGCCGCCGTGCTTCCCAAGCAGCACACTATCCAGTGCGCCACCGGGCCGGCCCAAAAGGGCCTATCTTGACTGTCAAAGTTCGTCTCTAATAATAGAAGGTGAAGGGGAAGAACAGTCCTGTTGGAGTCATTTAGTTGTGTTTCCAGTGTGAGAATTTCTCAAACCAGTGGAAAATTAAGGAAGTAATTCCTTTTTAATTATTTTGCAGCCATCATTTGGTTATTTTATTAGATCACCAGAGAAGAGAGAACCTATTGCTTTAATAAGAAAATCTGATGTGTCAAGGAGTAATTTGGAAAAAGGAATGCCTCATTTTATCCATGATCAGTTTTCAGGTAATGGATTAAATGAAAGGGTTTTTAGGAGCCTTTTTTTTAAAAAACCCTGTAATTTAGTGGTTGTGTGATCCTGTTGTTCATCAATGAAAATGTATATACCACTTTGTATTTTTTCAGTATTGGTTATAGATTTGATTTTTATATAACCTCACATTTCCATTTCAATCTAAGGTGGAAACAAGTCAGCCAAAATCCACCTAAATCTTTTTGTTAAAACCAGAGTAAATGATGGTCCGGCCCGGTGGCGCACTGCTATAGTGCGCCGCTTGGGAGCATGGTGGTGCTCCCGCCGAGGGTTCGGATCCCACGTACAGACCGGTTCCCGCTCACTGGCTGAGCGAGGTGCGGGAGCAACACCGAGGGTTGTCCGTTGCCGGACACGGAAAAAGACAAAAAGGAAAAAAAAAAAAAAAAAAAAACCAGAGTAAATGAAATAATTTCAAATGGGCTAGTTAATTTTGGCCTACTAAATGGCCAAATTAATGAATCCTAGATATTGTATTTATTATTTAGGTAGACTTTTAGTTAAAGGGATATTCTAAGATTTAAATTGACAGTCTAAATATGATAAATATTTATGATAAATATTTAAAATGAAACTTTCTTGGTCAACTTATAGTTATTGAGCAGCTACTTTTTGCTAGTACAATGTCTTGTGCTACATATCATATAAAGTTGACCAAGATATGCTCCGTTCCTTAAAGAGCCTGCATTCCAATAGGGGAGTAGGGATAAAGGGCATGTGTATATATAGTTTATTTTTTATTACTGTAAAGAAGTACTCACTTTTAAATTAATTTATTGTGTATTAGTGAAATATTTAAAGCTTAAAAATATTAAATGAGTTTGAGTATTTGCAAGGGAGATATCCATAATCTTCCTTCAAGGTTTAGACTTTGCAGAATTAAGCCAAATTTATAATACTGTTGTCCTTTGTCCAAATGACTATACATTTAAACAGTTTTAGTGAGAATGATATTTGGGGTATAAGACTTCTTGGCAGTTAATCATTTTCACTGGTCCTTATCCCACAGATTGTTTCTGTGAGATAGTATATACTTGTAAATTGAATGTTGTTTGTTTCCTGCAGGAGATTTAAATGAACAATCCCAGGCACAACTAAACGAAGGATCAATTACACTTCAGGTTGAAGAACTGGAGAGTAATTCACAAGTGGATGAAAATGATGTGACGTTAACTGCCGATAAAGGGAAAACAGAGGTAGCTTATGCCTTTCATGAAGGAAATCTAAGATTATTTTGTTATTATATAAGATCAAGACAAGATCACCTGTGAAAAATATGTGCAGTTTAAAGTGTTTTTCTGACTTCAATTTTATTACAAGTACTTTTAGATTAAAAAAAAAATTCCGGGCCGACCCCTTGGCTCACTCGGGAGAGTGCGGCGCTGGGAGTGCTGAGGCCGCGGGTTTGGATCTTATATAGGGATGGCCGGTGCGCTCACTGGCTGAGCGCATTGCGGGTGACACCAAGCCAAGGGTTATGATCCCCTTACTGGTCACACACACGCGCACACACACAAAAAATAAATTAATTAAAAAATATTCCATCAATGTATAACATGCACAAGAGTTTATAAAACAAGTTTACAGTCAATGAATGAATTATTACAACGTGAGCACCAGTATACACCCCAAGTCAAGAAACAGAACATTGCCAACAGCACAGAAACTATTTTTTCTTTTTGGTTGCCTCCCAACTACTCCTTCCATTAGTGCTCTGACCTCTAACACTGTATTAATTTTGTGTTAACTTTTAACTTCACCTTTTATTATGCAATAGAAGTATACTTTCATTACCGTATACTATTCTGTGATACCAATTTTCTGCACCCTGTATGTTCGTTCCACTTTTGATGGTCATTCGGGATATTTCCACTGTTGGACAATTACAAAATAATCACTTCACTATTTTTGGCATAGCTTTCCAGAGTGGTTGTACCAATGTAGGTTCCTTCCCATAGTGTGTGATAATTCCACTTGATATTGTTAATTATTGCGGTAGATGTGTAGTAATACCTCCTGTTTTAATTGTGTTTCCCTGATTACTAATGAAGTTGAATAGTTTTCATGTTTATTGGTCATTTGCTTCTTTTTGTGAAGTGCTTGTTAAAGTCTCTTGTTCATTTTTTCTAATGGGTTGTTAGCCCTATTGATTTGTAGGCATTCTCTACATATTCTGGTTTAGAGCCTTTTGCAGAGTTGCAAAAGGTTGTGAGCATTTCATATATCTTCTCCCAATTTGTGACTTGCCTTTTCCCTCTTTAAATGCTATCATTATTCATCAATTAGGCCATGCTTTCTCCATTTCTGTAGAGTTCCAACTTTGTCACAAATCAAATTCTATGAATTTGTGGTTCTTTCTCTAGATTCTCTGTTGCGTTTCTTTGCTCTGTTTGTCTGTATTTTGTCAATGTGACACGTCGTTTTTGTGTGTGTGTGAATGACTGGTATAGGAATCCAAACCCTTGACCTTGGTGTTAACAAGGCTGCACTCTAACCAACAGAGCTAATTAGCCAGCCTGACATAAGTCTTGATATTTAGTAAAGTCCTCCTGTTGTATTTTTTATTAGAAGTGTCTTGGCTAATCTTGGCCTTTACATTTTCATACATATTTTAAAATCAGCTTGTCAGCTTCCACATACCAACCAACTAACAAATCAACAGTCTTGTTCTAATTTTATTAGGATTACTTTTAGTCTGTAGAACAGTAAAATTGACATCTTTCTAATATTGAATCTGTGCTAATCCATGAAAATAATGTATCCCTCCAATTATTTAAGTTTTAATTTGTCTGTATTTTGTGATTTTTTTTTTTTTGGTGCAGGTTTTTAACATCTCTTGTTAGATTTCTTCTAAATTGTTGAAACATTTTAATATTCTTAACTTCATTTTCTGTTTGTTGTGGCTAAACAAAAATATGGTTTGGTTTGGTTTTGTCTTATATACTCACTTCCTATCCAGCAGATTCACTTATTAACTCTAATAATTATCTGTAGACTCTTTGCATTTCCTGCATATGCAGTTGTATCATCTAAGAATAACAGTAGTTTTATTTTTTCACTTCTACTTTTTATATCTTTATTTTCTTGTCTTGCCTTACTTGACTGGACCTCGGAACAGTGTTGAATTGAAGTGATGATGTGGCCTACTAAATGGCCAAATTAATGAATCCTAGATATTGTATTTATTATTTAGGTAGACTTTTAGTTAAAGGGATATTCTGAGATTTAAATTGACAGTCTAAATATGATAAATATTTATGATAAATATTTAAAATGAAACTTTCTTGGTCAACTTATAGTTATTGAGCAGCTACTTTTTGCTAGTACAATGTCTTGTGCTACATATCATATAAAGTTGACCAAGATATGCTCCGTTCCTTAAAGAGCCTGCATTCCAATAGGGGAGTAGGGATAAAGGGCATGTGTATATATAGTTTATTTTTTATTACTGTAAAGAAGTACTCACTTTTAAATTAATTTATTGTGTATTAGTGAAATATTTAAAGCTTAAAAATATTAAATGAGTTTGAGTATTTGCAAGGGAGATATCCATAATCTTCCTTCAAGGTTTAGACTTTGCAGAATTAAGCCAAATTTATAATACTGTTGTCCTTTGTCCAAATGACTATACATTTAAACAGTTTTAGTGAGAATGATATTTGGGGTATAAGACTTCTTGGCAGTTAATTATTTTCACTGGTCCTTATCCCATAGATTGTTTCTGTGAGATAGTATATACTTGTAAATTGAATGTTGTTTGTTTTCTGCAGGAGATTTAAATGAACAATCCCAGGCACAACTAAACGAAGGATCAATTACACTTCAGGTTGAAGAACTGGAGAGTAATTCACAAGTGGATGAAAATGATGTGACGTTAACTGCCGATAAAGGGAAAACAGAGGTAGCTTATGCCTTTCATGAAGGAAATCTAAGATTATTTTGTTATTATATAAGATCAAGACAAGATCACCTGTGAAAAATATGTGCAGTTTAAAGTGTTTTTCTGACTTCAATTTTATTACAAGTACTTTTAGATTAAAAAAAAAATTCCGGGCCGACCCCTTGGCTCACTCGGGAGAGTGCGGCGCTGGGAGTGCTGAGGCCGCGGGTTTGGATCTTATATAGGGATGGCCGGTGCGCTCACTGGCTGAGCGCGTTGCGGGTGACACCAAGCCAAGGGTTATGATCCCCTTACTGGTCACACACACGCGCACACACACAAAAAATAAATTAATTAAAAAATATTCCATCAATGTATAACATGCACAAGAGTTTATAAAACAAGTTTACAGTCAATGAATGAATTATTACAACGTGAGCACCAGTATACACCCCAAGTCAAGAAACAGAACATTGCCAACAGCACAGAAACTATTTTTTCTTTTTGGTTGCCTCCCAACTGCTCCCTCCATTAGTGCTCTGAACTCTCACACTGTATTAATTTTGTGTTAACTTTTAACTTCACCTTTTATTATGCAATAGAAGTATACTTTCATTACCGTATACTATTCTGTGATACCAATTTTCTGCACCCTATATGTTCGTTCCACTTTTGATGGTCATTCGGGATATTTCCACTGTTGGGCAATTACAAAATAACCACTTCACTATTTTTGGCATAGCTTTCCAGAGTGGTTGTACCAATGTAGGTTCCTTCCCATAGTGTGTGATAATTCCACTTGATATTGTTAATTATTCCGGTAGATGTGTAGTAATACCTCCTGTTTTAATTGTGTTTCCCTGATTACTAATGAAGTTGAATAGTTTTCATGTTTATTGGTCATTTGCTTCTTTTTGTGAAGTGCTTGTTAAAGTCTCTTGTTCATTTTTTCTAATGGGTTGTTAGCCCTGTT